TGAGTGAATTATCTTCAGTATTTACTAAAACATCGCAGTTTTAGTATTTCTGGAAATTACCGTTATATGGGAAGTGGGCGTGGTTAAAGTCCGATTTCGCCCATTTTCAATACCAACCTACCTTGGATTAANACCAACCTACCTTGGATTAACAGAAACCTACATACCAAATTTCGTTGAGATATCTCAATTTTTGCTCGAGTTATCGTGTACACGGACGGACGGACAGACGGACAGACGGACAGACGGACGGACAGACAGACATGACTTAATTGATTTCTCTTTTCATTCTGATCATTTATGTATACATTTATCTATATCTATCTCGATTCGTTTTGGCTGTTACAAACAACCGTTATGTGAACAAAATTAATATACCCTTGTGCACAAGTGCGCTCGGGTATAAATATTTGTTCCCTCTATATGAACTCCTGCCCCTAGATGAGAGGCTGGCTACGCCCTTGTATACAAAGCAGTTAAAGTATTTAAACCGTAGGTATATCATACGGTCAGTTTTTTTTTTTTGAGCGCATACATGGTTCCATAATAATGATTTCAGTATCTTCATTAATGCATATTGTAACTATCAATATCTTATAAAGAGAAGTGTAATGAAGTTAGAAGGGCGAAATTCAAGGATGTGGTAGTTAACATATTTGTCCTTGACACATATTTTTTTCAAAGTAAATAGTGGAAATTTCCAAGGATATTCAAGTATAAAATTTTAAAATGACATTTTCAATACTTATTCGTCATGGTGCACGCAAAAATTAAATTTTTTTCTATTCTACAGAATTTTTCCTTTTAGTTGATATCCATATTGTTATTCTACAATGCACCGCATCTTTTGAATAACTTTTTTATTCAATCATATTCTAGAGATTTCAAAGTCCTTTAAAAAAAAATCCTGACGTCAGAGAGAAAAACTAAAAACGCAGTTTTATTATATTTGGCCACCAGTTTTGTGAATATATTAATTTTTTTGTGTGTAAAATTGACTGTCGCACGGTGTAATTTGTCAGTTCAATTCTATTTGATAAAATAAGAGATCATATAGAAGATTTGAATTGGGCACGACCTTCACCCATCTGTTTACTGGATTAAATCTATTTTTTATGAAATTTAGCGTGTTAGTAAATATTTCGCTAGTGGGTTGGCTGAAAAAACCCCTTTCCAGGATATTTTAAATTAAATATTCAAAGATAATCTTTTTTTTTATTTTGCACTCATTTGATTAACAAACGTATTATACACCAATCGAAAGCATTAAGCCTATATAATGTGTTAAACACATGAGTGAAAATTACTAGTATTACTCACCTGTTTATACCTACCAACCACTCCGCGGAATTTTTGCTTGTAGGTTTTTGACATTTGGTTTTGATGCAATGCTGAAAACGCGAAAAGAGTTAAATGTCAAAAAATTAGGGATGGCAAGTAATGTTTCAGTGTCTTATCGAGTATTTGCATTGCACAATGTAAATGTAATACTGTGTTTACATACGGCGATTTTAGAGGAACTTTTAATTGAAAGTGGTGTAAACTGCCTTTAAACCAACTGCTTTCAATGCAGTTGTAAACACCCTATAAAGAATTGCGATAATTATGAATAAAATCGCTTAAAACTAGCTAAGATCTCCTAAATAAACGCTGAGAATCCCGCTAGTCACCGAATTCCAATTTTCCCCGCTAACGGCGCGTTTAGATTAGACAATGCTGTCAAGATAATAAACAAATACGTATTAGTTGTCAAAAATGCTGATAATTGTCTCTGAGACACAGGCGTCCTGACAATAGTTATGACAATTCATTTTGAGCAAAATGTCGAACGTGAACGTTGTATTATAATACGCATTTCGCGCGAGTTATTTAAGCTAAAAACTGAAAAATAATAAAGAAGAGACAAAGTTACAGACACATCAGCGTATCTTCTGTGTTATTTTAGTTCTTTTGTTGTGTGTGTTGTGTTTCTCTTCATTCTTGCACAAGACTACAAAATTATTGTCTGCATACGTCAAATGATTGTCCAATACTGTCTTGAAAATAAACACCGCAGTGATAGAGAAAGTTGCAAAAATATGCATGTACTAGTGAAAAAGTTTGCATGCATTGCTATTGTCATGACAGTATTCTCCGGTGTAAACCCCAAGTAAGTAGAAAATAAATTCTCTAGATCTAGCGGGAAAATCCCTGAAATGGCAACAGTGGTGGTGATAAAATTAACATATATGTGTGTATATATCACATGTACAGATTACTATATATTGGGGCTTATATGTACATACATATGTACATTAGATGCCTTATTTTCTCCATACATTTTGCTAAAGTATTTCAGATCCTCCCTCCGGCAGCAGAATATGAAAATAGGGCGCTAAAAACTAAAAAAAAATGAAAAAAGATATCCACTATTGCAAAAGCTGGATGAGCTACTCCGAAATCCATGATTTATAAGACTGTTTCGCTGTAGGTTTAGGCTCTTATATCAAAAAACCTTCATCTTGCACAAGAAAGAAAAAAAGATCTCCAAAGTCATGAAGAATAACCGCTAAAGTGAATGACATTCCTAGTTCTTTAACACAACTAACCAGAAAGTTACCCACACTGCCTAAAGTGACTATATGGTATTATTTTTCATGACCTTTCAAATTTATTTGTTAGGATTTTCCAGATAGTAGTAATTTTACTAAAATTAAAATACTTAAATTTTTAGCTAATTTAATGTTGTTTTTAAACAGCTAACAGATCTTGAATTGATTTATATTTGAACTAGTAAATTAGGTTTAAGTAAAGCCATGTTGAGTACAATCAGGTCTGACTTACTTTAAAATTTGTTGAAGTTTTTAACAATATCGTTTTTATATGCCAGGTAGGGAGTACTTTTATGTGCGCCTTTACTATTTGAAAGAAATAAATGATTTCGGAATATGCTAACCTCTAGCAGCAATGTCGAAGGGTAGGGGAAATGTTGATTTAAATTTAGATTCTCTATGTTCCGTTCGTTTGTCTAATCTGTCTTTTTAATGTTAACATATTCAGAGTAGAAATTAGTCATGTCATGTTTCACTACTCTCTTTAATTTAGTGGCGACGCCTAAACGAGAACTAATGTTAAAATTAATTGCAGTTTTCTCTATATGTGTTAAATTAATGAAACTTACCAGTTAGGAAGTAACTACTAATTTTTGTCGTTTTCTCCATAAAACCCATGCATGGAATTAAACCCCGCGGCAAACGATAGCACATCAATATTTTTACCAGTTTTGATTACTTTTCTTTTGATTTTTTTAAGGTTCATTATTTTTATATAAAAGTATTGCTCCTTATCTAACAAATACCATATAAATCTAAATTTCAGACTTTGTACAAAAATTATAAAAATTCCACAAACTTTTCATCCCAATTCCATGCATTTTAATTTCAATTTCTAGAATAATTTTTGGTATGCAGTTTTATAGCTTACTAAATTCTAGTATGATAATGTGCAAGTTTTAAGTTGCTGAAAAATCGCGTTGTTATACCCGAGCACTTATGCACAAGGGTATTGTAACTTTGTTCACATAACGGTTGTTTGTAACAGGCAAAACGAACCGAGATAGATATAGACAAATGTATACATAAATGATCAGAATGAAAAGAGAAATCGATTAAGCGGTGACTGTCTGTACATCCGTCCGTCTGCGCACGCGATAACTCGAGTAAAAATTGAGATATCTTAACGAAACTTGGTACGTGCACTTCTTTCGGGCGTAGGATGGATGGTGTAAATGGGCAAAATCGGACAATAACCATGCCTACCTCCCTTATAACGGTATTTTCAGAAATACGAAAACTGCGATATTTTAGTAACTACTGAAGATTATTCACTCAAAATTGATATTTGAAATAATTTTTAGACGAAAAATAAGAATATTTTAAATTTTTGGAAAATGGGCGTAGCCACGCCCACTTATCGTTACATGTGTGTATCTTGGTAACCGCTGCACCAGTTTCTTCCATACTTGGCACAGTTGTTGGCCTTGATACGACATACCAAGTAGGCGAAAATTTTTAAAATCGGACAATAAGGTATATGCACACAATTGCGGGGTAGTACGTTATTCCGTTGAATTCCGATTTTTTTATTTAAATAAGGAATTGGTAGAATGTTTGATCAAATAAAAAATACCTGAATAAACTTAAATTTTTAAGAACTAATAAGGTCCATTCTAACTGTACTTATGGATTATATTTATATAATATCAGGCAGTCTATAAGTTGTAGTTCGGAGAATTAGCATCATGTAAGCAGATGTCCTAAGCGAAGTGTTAACGACTGTAGTGTATTTTCTTAAGGCTGTAAAAATTTAACGATAAGTATTTTTCGCACTATGATAATATTTTAGTATTCATTAACCATCTTTTAACTGGTTGTGTAACTGCCAAATTCATCCCGGTAGATTTAATTACCTTACAAGTGATATTTCTGATTCACGGAATTATGTATATATTTCGTTTACTAGGTACATAATTCCGTGCCTAACACGGAAATAGGGCTTTTCAATACTTAACATTTTTTCTTATTTTAATTAAATTCTTACAAAAACTATCTCACTAATTCTTTTTGTCATTAAATTAAACACTAAAGAAATTGTTGAGGTAATTCCGTTCTATAGTTTTATTAACCTAAACGTTAATATTTTAATGGTAAATATCTGTGGTTCACTACATTCTAATGAATTATTGACATTATAGAATTTTTGTTATTTCTATTATTTACAGTAAAATGTTGAAAATGTATCAAAAATTTAATTCATTATCATTATTTTGACATCATATTGATAATTACAAAAAAAAACACGATGTTATGTAATATTTTAAGGTTTAAATTTCTGTCACGGATTTATGTGCTTTCAGTTCTTTATTCCGAGCTATACCACGCATTTACGTTAAAACTGTAAGAAAAGAAGGACGTATTTGCGGCGCAACATTTTACACTAGCATTTCATTGAACTCGGTTCAGAAATTATTAAAAAAGCGCTTATTTTTGCTAGGAAATAATTTAAAATTTGTGTTCCACTCGCTGATTATTACATTAAACGAGTNACAGAAATTATACGCCTTTGTAAAATAATGTTCCTATATGGTTCAGTTCTGCAGCTCATATTAACATTTACATCATGCGATCGTAAATGCCCTTCTGCNCTTTATTTTACATCAAAAATGGCAAAAAATCGCCACTCAAAATAAGATTTGGTCGCAGCTCTGAATAATATCAATAATCAAAAGTTGAGTATATGTATATAAGCTGCAAAATTATACAAAATACATGATCAGAAGCTAAGGGCCATTTTCTCAAGTAGGTTTTAAACTTTATCAGCTCATTAGACACAATTTCTTAGAGTAGAAGAGTGATACTCATGTGTTCATGGCTCATGATTAACATGCTTTCCTGATCCTTTTTCATATAAAAAATCTTTGCGTATTTTCATTTGATAGCTATTTTTTTTATTTGTCCCCTGTTAAAGTTTGAGTTTTTGTATTTAAAAAAAATAAAATAAATGGTTAGCGCTTCTGACTTTGCACATCGATGATGCGGGTTTGATCCCTGCTGAAGTCTAGAAAAAAGAAGTCTGATGAGGAGATGTGGGATCTCCGAAATAGCTGCTATANAACAAAAGGAGAAGGTTATCAATTCGTCGGATTATTTTTTTTTATGTATGATACCGCATAACTTTGGACCACGTCAACTGATTTCCAGGTGATCCCATACTNTTTTTTTTATTTGTCCCCTGTTAAAGTTTGAGTTTTTGTATTTAAAAAAAATAAAATAAATGGTTAGCGCTTCTGACTTTGCACATCGATGATGCGGGTTTGATCCCTGCTGAAGTCTAGAAAAAAGAAGTCTGATGAGGAGATGTGGGATCTCCGAAATAGCTGCTATAACTTCTACCGCTGAGACTTTGTTGCTTTTTCAATTTTCTCTAATAAACAAAATCGTGGTACAAATCCCAATAACAATAATAAAAAAGAAAAAAATTTTGAATATTTAAATAATTTCTCAGAAACTATCAAGCCTATTGAAAANAAAGATGTTTCAAATACCTTTCGTTTGGCACCCATATTGTTCCTCAAACATATTTTCNCCAATAACAATAATAAAAAAGAAAAAAATTTTGAATATTTAAATAATTTCTCAGAAACTATCAAGCCTATTGAAAAATAATGCGTACACGGTTTATGGAGAATTATTTTTTTCTTTCATATGCCATATTTTGTATTAAGGTTGCTCAATTGGTCCGTAAAATATACGTGATTAAGTGGAACCACTTTTTACCTGAATAACGGTAAATTGCAAATCTCTCGGGTGATTCTACATAGGAATTGGATAGGGGCTTCCTTGGAGCAAAAAAA